CCTGCTCACACCTGCCCCCAGGCCTGTTGCTGCCACCTTCTCATACCGGCTCACATCTGCCCCCAGACCTGTCTGCCACCTGCTTACACCTGCTCACACCTGCCCCCAGGCCTGTCTGCCACCTGCTCACACCTGCTCATCCATGCCCACAGGCCTGTCTGCCACCTGCTCACACCTACCCACAGGCCCATCTGCCACCTTCTCACACCTGCCCACAGCCTGTCACTGTCTACTTCTCACACCTGTTCACACCTGCCCAGGGGCCTGTCACTGCCTCAGTGATTCCAGGCATCGGGGACATGAGGCTAAGACTGGCGGAAAAGGGAGGGAGGGCTTGTCCTGGGACAGACCAGGGCCTGAAATCAGGAGGCATCAGCGGGCAGAAGCGAGGCTTTAGACCCTGGCCAACAGGAGGAGGGTTTGGGGGCCTGAGTCCCCGGGGGGTGGGCCTGGGGAAGCTGGGTCTTGCACGGTGGAAGCAGTTGTTACTGAGATCTGGTGGGTGAGGAACTGACTGTATCTTAACTTTTGTCCCTTTTTTACTGGGCTCCTCCCTCCAAATCCAGGCTGCTGTATTTATGAGAAACCTCGGGCCTTTGGCGAGAGCTCCACTGAGAGCGATGAGGACGAAGAAGAGGGCTGTGGTCATACACACTGTGTACGGGGCCACCGCAAGGGACGGCGTCGTGCAACCCCAGGACCGAGCCCCAGCACCCCTCCCCAGCCTCCTGACCCCTCCCAGCCTCCTCCAGGGCCGATGCAGCACTAAATTCCTCTCTGCCCCACCATTCCTGTGTCTGCCTGGCCCTGAATGTATTCACGTGGCTACTTGGGGACTAAACCCATGGTTTGACCCCTTCTCCAGCCCCCTCCTGCCCGCTCCTCTGCCTGACGGAGGGAGGAGGAGCGGAGGGTGAACAGAGATCCTGGAATTCTGACTTGCTGCTATTCCAGAACCCAGGCTCCTGGGTTCTCCCAGCCCTTGTTTCTCCTTCCGGTCCTCATCCCCTGCTCTCCTGGGATCCAGGCGTCTTGGCTCCAGTCTCTTCCCTTGGTTCTCACTGCCAAACTGCCTGTCCTGGGATCCAGGTCCCTTGGCCCCTTGCACTCTCTCTTTGAGTCCCAAACACTTAAGTTGGGTTCCCAGCTTTCACTGCCAGGGTCCCAGTCAGATTCCGGGCAGTCTTGCCCCAGCTGTGCTTGTTAATCCTGGCTTGGAGCTCTTCCAGTAATGTGTTTATATAAGCCTGTGGGATGTGTGGGCTCCCAACCCTACCCCCTCATGCCCTCCAGAGGGGAGGGAGAGAGAGAGGTCTTCGCTTTATCACCTTTAATGGAAAAGGACATAGTGATGGCCTCGCCTCACCCTTCTCACGTGAGACAGGATCTGACAAAGCTGGCTTGGGGATTGGCCACTTAGAGCCAGCCTTCTCCTGCGTCTTGTGGCTTCAGAGACAGATCCAGCTTTGTCCCAGGGACCTGGGTCCCTGGGAGAGGAAGCGAAAGGGAGGGAGCAAAGAGATGGGGATACGTCCCCTACACTACACTCTTACCCCTTCCTTCCTAGGCTTTGATGTTTCTGCCAGCCCAGATGCCCAGCTCCCAGCCCTCCCCACTCCTTACTGGGATCTTGAGATCATTTCCTAGGCCTCTTGCCATGCACAGTTGCAGAGATGAGTCAAATCATACCACCACTGAGATCTCATTTATTGCCACAGATGCACAAAATAAATAACCCAACATCTCAAAAAGTGTTAAATATGGGCCCATTTATACATATGGGGAAAGATGAGATGCTGTGTACAGGGATGGTTTTGGGGTGTTTGGGCCAACCCCCCCTGCTGAGGAGAGGAAAGGGAGGTAGCAGCCTTGGCTTACTGTGTGTGCAGGGGGGGGGGGGGGGGAGTCAGGAAGCTTCCTAACGGGACAAGGCTGTGAGCAAAGGAAGCAGTCACCATGGAGCAGAGCTGGCCTGCCCCCTCCCCAGAACAGCATTGAGCTCCATGGAGGGCTCTGAGACCCAGGCCAGAGTCTGGTGAATAAACCCCAGATTGGGCAGGGAAGTCGGAACCGTGGCCCGAGGAGAAGGCACTGGGCCCTCTGAGACCAGCAGAGGCAGGGGTGGGAGGGGGACGCTTGGCTGGCGGGGCCTCTGCGTAGTGGACACCACCGTTGCCCAGTATTGGGGGGCAGGGCCTGTTCCCCAGCTCAGGTCCAGGGTAGCAGGCAGCCGTGGAGAGGCAGGTGGCAAGCGTCCCAGAGGGAGGGGCAGGAAGCCGGAGTCCAGCCAAGATCTTCCTGCTTGGGAGAAAAGAGTGTGGCTGGGTGGGGGGGGGGGGGGTGTGGACGAGGCGGCTCCCCGCACAGGCGGGGGGAGGCGGCTCAGCCCTCTGCCGGCACGATGCGCAGCGGGGCGCGGGCGTCACGCGTGCAGAGCAGCGGGAAGACGCGCTGCCCCAGCGGCCCGGGCGCCTGGAAGGCGAAGAGCAGGTCGAGCGAGCGCCCGTCGTAGAAGGCCACTCGGCCGCGCTCCCAGTCCACGTCCACGCGGATGCGCCGCGGCGGGGGCCCCGTGCCGCCCACCGGGGTGGGCTCGGGCTCCGTGAGCGCCCACAGGCGGCCGGCGCGGCCCTCCACGGCCCACACGGCCCCCGCCGGGCACAGCCCCACGCGGCCCTTGCGTCGCACCGACTCGCCGGCCGCGCCCACGGCGTAGCGGGCTTCGCCGCTGTCCTGGTCCCCGTCCTCCTGGTCCCCGGCGGCGGCCGCGGTCTCCACCTCCCAGCAGTGCCGGCCAGCCCCGAAGCCCTGCGCGCCCAGCACCGCCGGGAGCTGGTCGAAGCGCGCGGGGCCGTCGGGGGGCGCGGGCGTCCCCGGCGGGGCCAGCCGGACGCTGCGGCGGTCCGCTGAGATGAGCAGCTGGCGGTGTGCGGTGCCCGGGTCCAGGGTCAGGTCGGCTGCGGAGGGGAAGAGGGGGGCCGGGTCAGGGTCAGGGGGGTCTGCGCAGCAGAGGGCACCAAAGAGGCCTCCCAACTGCTCCAGAGGCAGCTGTGGGGCCAGAGCGGGAGGAGACAACTGCCGCAGGGACGGGCCGCTTCCGTAGAACCGTCCTGGAGAAGCCCTGGCCGGCCTGGCGAAGGCGGCACAGGGCGAAGATCATGGAGAGGCTGCTTGGGTTGGGGGTTGGGAGAAGAGTGGGGCTGATCCAACTTCCAGGGAGGAGTGAGGACGGATACCGCATCTACTGTGGTGGTGGTGGGGCGTGGGAACTGGGTCAGCAGGATGCGGAAGGAAGGTGACCCTGAGGAGGAGGACTGGCAGGGGGTGCTGGGACCCCAGGCAAAAGTGGGAGTGGCCTGGGGCAGAGGAGGAGAGAGAAACAATCCCGGCCCTGTGTGTATGGTTTGCTTTTGAGGAAAGGTTTCTGGATTGGGGTGCTAGAAGTATCCTGGGTTATGGGGTATGGTAGGTAACAGGAGGGTGGGGCACCTTTCCTGGCAGGCTTTTTTTTTTTTTTTTTTTTTAAGAGTTCTTTTGTAGGTAATGTCTAGACCCTATGTGGGGCTAGAGCTCACAACCCGAAGATCAAGAGTTGCATGCTCAAAAAAAAAGAGGGGGAGGGGGCGCCTGGGTGATGGCTCAGTCAGTTGAGTGGCTGACTCTTGATTTCAGCTTAGGTCATGATCCCAGGGTCGTGGGATCAAGCCCTGAATCCGTCAGGCTCTGCACTGAATGTGGAGCCTGCTTGAGATTTATTCTCTCTCTCTTCCCCTCTACCCCTCCCCCCCCAAAACTGAAAACAAAACAAAACAAAAGCGTTGCAGGCTCTATCGACTGAGCCAGACAGGTTCCTCTTTGGCTGGCAGCTTTGGTAGCAAGGCAGGGGCCCCACCCCCCACCCCCCAGGGGGGCTGCAGAGAAGGTCCAGAGCCCCAGGGGCAGAGACAGAGCAAGAGTGGTGGAAGCAGCTGACCTTCCAGGGTCGCGACAGATAAGAGGGGGGGATTGCTGGAATATGAAGAACTGAGGATTGACGTTGAGGGTCGAATTATGTTCCTCCCGAAAAGAAATGTTGTATACTCTCAGGACCTCAGAGTGTGAACTTAGTTGGAAACAGAGTCTTTACAGAGGTAATTAAGTTAAAACGAGGTCATTAGGGCAGGCCCTGGCCCAATGTGACTGGTGTCTTTACAAAAAGAGCAAGTTTGGACCCAGAGATGGATGAACACAGAAGGAAAACAATGAGAAGACAACAGAGAGGACATCTGAGGGGGGAGGCTGGGAGAGAGGCAGGGCCGTGGAAGGAGCCCATCCCACCCAACACCAGCCTCGACTCCCAGAGCTGACACGGTGGGTTTCTGTGGTCCAGCCCCTCAGCGCCTGCTGCTTAGTGCTGCCTCAGGGAAGTCCCACAGACCCCAGAAGAGACTCGATCTTGTCTGAGAGGGAAGACTGTCACTCAGTGCATCCCTCCCTCCCCCCTTACCCGTCAGTCTGTGCAGCATGTTTTTGACCACTGGATAATCTTCGGGGACGTCGTCGTCTGAGTTAGATGCCTTGGGTGTTGGGGCGTCAAGTCTGGACAGATGAGGGAGAAGGGTCAGGAAGTCCGTAGACACCCTCTGCCTCTGACGCCCCCACCCCGACCTCACTGACATCTCTGGGGCCCGGAAAAGCTGTGTGTGAGTGAGGACAGAGAGGAGCCCACGGAAAAGGTGACGGATGTGGCAGCTGGTGGTAGAAAGGAAGGAGCAGTAAAGGGGAACTCACCTCCTCCATGTCTTCCTCGTGTCCTGGGATGGGCAGAAGAGAACATGGATGTGAGCTCTGGGCTTCGTCCCTGGGCGGCCCTCCCTATCCTCCCCTCCCTCAGGTAGCTGGGACTCGGTTGGTGAGCCCCGGCACCTCTCACAGTGACCTCTTCACCCCTGGGCTCCCCCTTTCCTCAGTCTTCCCTTGTCCTTTCATGGGCCTCCTTCCCCTCCATCACCGCCCACCGCCCTCCTCCCCTTCCCCAGCTTCATCCACACCTGGGACTTGCCCCCTTCACCCTTCAGAGTTCCCCGCCTGGCCTCATTCTGTGTCTCCTAATTTACCTTCCTGAGGGTGTCCCTCTCCTCCATCACTCTGACCAAACCCCCCGAGCCCTGGGGCTAAGAGTTGGTGTATAAAAGCCTTGTAATAAAGCTGCTTCCCCTGTTGCCATAAAAGCCCAGTGGCATTTATTGGGCCCTTGGCTTTGTGTCTCTACCCTGGCCTAGGCGGCAGCTGGACT